GAAACTTTTCAAATATCAACGTATATCTGTTAGAGACACGACGAGCGATGCGTTTATACCGACGTACATTGAAATCTCGTCAATACACATCTTCTGTGCCACCAGATCCAATTCGTTTGCTGCCGAATTATTAATTTACCAAACTAATTGCATTATCCGATAATTTATTGGGCTGGAAAAGCACCTTGTTAATTTTCTCTTAATATTTTATTATAAAGTCAGAGAAGGGACGCAGAAGGGAAGAAGAGAGAGAGAGAGAGAGAGAGAGAGAGAGAGAGAAAAGTAAAATAAAGAAGAAGCACTTTATCCTTATTATGGCAAATGATATTAGCTATATAAAGAGTTATGACACAAATTACGGCCGTATAGTCAAAATTCATGACTCCAAGGCGCCGGAAGTTCCAAAAGAGATGTAATATCGTGATAATAAGAAATGTGATTTTACGCCGACGGGACAATTTGGGATCGTTCGAAATCGGTAGGTTTAATTTGCGTATAGCCTATTGTGACCGCTGCGATAGTCATAAAGTTCTCGTTCGTAACAATACCCAATTCGCAGCAATAAAATTACGATAATGGAATATTCGGATTAACGGCGGCGGGTATGAATTCGACATTTGTCTGGGATCTGCAATGATAGAATCGACGAAGTTACGACGCGGCGCTTAGAACGCAAGGTAAACAGCGAGCAGTAAATAAAGCGATATTGATTTTGCAGGACGTGTTGTTGCAACTGGGCGACTGGAAATGCATTTCATGGAAAACATTTCCATAGAAAAAAAAATACAGTTACAGAGGTTCTCTTGGGATTTGCGAATATAAATTGGAAGATGAAATCGCGCAGTGGCGTTCTCCGGCGTGACGTTAAAATTAAGGAAACGTCACTTGCAATTAGTCCTGACGCGAATTAGAAGAAATGGTTGCTCTCGAAGGCAGGTGGGCTCTGAATCTTTAATGACTTGGTGTCGGATTTTTTTAAGAGTCGCTTAAAAACGCCACTATCTGACAGTCGTAATATCGCAAAGATGAATTGCTGCTGAAATTGAACGTGCCGTTGCGCCATCGGTTTTCTGCGCTAATAAAAATAAAAGTGCGGGGCGACGTTTTCTCAAATAATTGAGCGATTTTCCGATGGCCGATACGTAGTTACATCGATGGCTCGTTACGTCCGCTGTCGGTATCTGCTTTTATAAAATTAAATAACGTAGTGGCATCGTATAACAAGGGATGAAACTCGAATGATAGGACACCGCTATGATTCGCGTGTCTTAAGTAAGTACGGTTTTCAGCTTACGATACGACGGAGTGAGATAAAGGGTAGCTGTCGACAAACGGATTATTCTGCGGTGAAAGTGTTCCGGAAACGGTAATTACGAAATATGCAGCGGCGAGCTTGTCTTCATCATGGAGAGACCACTGAGATCTTTCCGGAGGGAGATTAAGAAAGGGATCCAAGAAAATGGGCCACGACTGTCACGATCGTTGACACTCTAGTGATTCTCGCGAAGTTGCAAAAATAATAGTAAACTTCAGGGCTGAGACACGAACACATTTATTCCTCGAGAAAATGTCGCCTTCGATTTTAGCAAAATACCCCGTGCAGAGCACAAGTAGAACGTGACAGCGAAGAATATTTTAAGTCGAGTATAATTGTTCAAAATGGAGGACCTCAGAGCGACCTGGGAAACGGCATAAGCAGTGGAGTAGAAAAGTTCGAGAAGCAAAAAAAGGGGGGACTCTTCGTCTGCGGGATAAACTTCCAATGTCTCCGCAACAAATTGTGTTCCCAGCAGGCATAATGATATATCTTCATTCCTACGTTCCTGGCATTACTACAGAAACTACCTTATTCGCGCAAAAAAGGATCAAGATGCCATTGCGAGTGGCCTATGGACTAGTTCGTAATTATTCGCCATTGGAGGGCATCATTTTATAGACAATCTCTCGATGAAGCAAGCCAGGACCTCGTATCTGGGTTGATTGAATGTTGCCCGACTGATTACCCTCCAATTATGTGCGCGACGTACAGATGAATTAAATGAAAATCTCGTGAAAATAATGATTCGCCTGTAATCATTAATCAATGTCAGAAGGATTTGAATATATATCTTTTAAACGATGCACAAGCTTTGCTCCACATCAGACTGTAATGCTGTGAGAGAAGATGAAGAAGATCTTTTACACGAGAAATTTGCAATCTCGGCCGCGAGTTTCTGGCGAGCGGATCGTTGAACGTATCTCGAGTACAAAGTCACTCGGCCTTGGTAAGGGAGACTGCTTTTTCGAAGGTGAGTAGCAGTCTCGAACGATCGACGAGAGAACAGGGAGACTGCGCCTGGAGGAGGAGATAAAGCAGGATGGCGATCGAGCGAAGTGTCGAAGGGTTGAACAAGAGATGGGAGAGCGAGGCGGATCGGCCGCTACAATGAAAGAAAGAAAAGGATACGGTGAGGGAGGCAGGGAGAAGAGTCAAGATAGTGGAGAAGAAGGCACGGGAGAAGAGGAGAGGGCGGAGCAGCCAGAGCGAGATGGACAGACGCATCAACGAACGGGAGAGAATAAGGGAGAGAAGTACGGGGTGGGAGAGGAGTCAATGACTCATGAACTTTTCGCATCGATTGCAAATATTTAAAGCACGAGGTCAGAGAGGAGTGACAAGGCGGTACGAAATTCAATTTCGTACATTTCGTTCAACATGTCCCGGTCGACTCGACGGACAGGTTTGTTCGCGCTTCGGGAAACAACGGGAGACTGGACATAATGTCGCGATTGACCGCTCACAACGTCGTCGTCGACGTCGCCGTCGTCATCGAACGCCTGACGTCGCATACAGACGAGCGGCGTTTAACGCGGCGCGAAGTTTGCAACTCAATTTTCATCATGGTGACGCCTACGTCTTCTCTCGCCACTTTGTCGCGTCTTCGATCGATAAATACTCGTGAATGCGAACGCCAACGTAGACAATTCGGACGCACACGTGTCCGTGGCGGTATCTTGATTCTCGCACAATTGTGACATTATGCCCCACTGTTTCCCGGGGCGGAACTGCGCGTTCGCGCCCACGCTGATCTCGACGGAAAAATTTCGACGATTTGAGCAGAATCGTTGAGTATTATGCAACGGAATGTAACGGCCAGCAGTAATTAGCAGTTCCGCTGAAATTGCATCGATTTGCTCCCGGGCCGCCGGTCACGCATTAATGAACGCGAATCGAACGATTAAATGTCGTAATTCCTCGAGAAACGCTATTGAATTTTAATTACTAATTTGCTCGGCTCGGAAAGCGTGTTATTCGCCCGCCGCGTTTTTAACGTGTCGTACGAAAGTAACGCGATGCCGTTCACGGCACCGCTAGCAAAACTGCTCCGGCAATCTGCATATTACTTGTCGCGATGTCGCGATATCACGATATCATACGTCGCATTACTTTGTTGCCCCTCCTAGGATTTGCATGAAACATTAGGGATCGAAACACCATCAAAGCCATCACGACAAGCCTTTGGACACGCACAACCGAGCTTCGACGGTCACATTTGCGAATCCGGAAATGTGTCAACAAATGTGTGTCGGCACGCGCGTGTTCGCACACTTTTGGCATCAAAGATTATTGGCGAGTATTGCATACAACGTCGCCATGTGTTTGCTACATTTCTAGAACCTTTTTCCTACGAACATTGAATCAAGTCGATCAGAAGACCTAGCTGTCTCGCTAAGTGCTATTCCGCTCCAACTTGTCGCTAGCATTCGTGTAATAGAGAGATCTCCCGTTCGAGCAAACCGGGCTGATACGTAATTGAGATCAACGATGTGGAAAGACCAGGTGAACGGCGACAAAAGGAAACGACCGAAAAAGGAACGAGCGAAGATATCAACGGGAATTCGCGCGGAGATCGCGGTTATACTCTGCCCACAAATTACAATTTAACGCGCATGGTGCCGATTGGCGCCTCTAACTTGGAGAAAATAGCGCGTAGTAGACCTTATTCTCGCTTCGTAGAAAAGCCCTGCGTTTAAAGGCGAGCTTCCCGAGCTTGGCAGAAACGACAGCAACTTGTTACGCCGGAACTTGTTACGTCACGTTGTAAAATGCTCGTCTACGCTGAACTTGGACTTGTTACGCAATTTGCGCGATTAAGATAAAACACAGGTAAAGTTTATAACGGGGTAATTAGCAGCTCATTAAAAGAGACGACATTAAATTAGTTCGCAGGCAATGGTATTTAACGCGCGATTCGAGAAGTTATGTATTACATCGCGAGCAAGCAGAGTGGCGGCGGCGACGCGTTACGCGATTCGTTTACACTTGCGCTCCTTTCCACCGAGAATCGTGCGCCGTTATTCCTACATTTTTCTTATTGTCGGAACAATAGATATATTGTGCGAATGATATTCTTGTTCGCGGACGTTACGGCGCGGCGCCCGAAGGCGAGCACGACAATGACAAATGTATGGAGCTCCATTGTGAGAACCTATTGTACACGCGCGCGGCAATAATCGGCCGCGGTACACCTCGTTTTGTTCTCCGCCCCGGTTTTGTGACTGCGGGGGAAAATGTTGGATGGATGACAGATCGGGGGAGGTCGGCGTGTGTATCGCACATGTATCGCATGCACGCAGGCCAGATAAAAGTCGCACCGAGCCAAGAGGCGTGTCACGTTACGTACTCGAAAGCGTTACGCTTGAATTCCCTTACAATCGCAATTACACCGAGGTTTAAACCTTTCGACGAGTTATATATCAAATGTCAACGGCGACGCACACACGTAGTTTAAGCCGCTTTGGACTATGAAAGCCTCCCCCTTCGATTTTTCACTGTATTAAATATCGCAGCCAACAATTGCCACGAAGCGAACGGTACAATTTAATTAAATCTACCTGCCGATGTCAGAAGCAACTTTACTTTATGATCGCGGCTACAAAAGGGTTGACAATACCGGGAATATCGAATTACCACCATGGAAACTGTTTGGACAAATTGAAAACTGAAATCGTTCTCTTACCTTCGAAACGGGAAAAACGGGCGCCCTCGTTTTCACTCCTTTCCGAGAAGGAGATTTAATACCTTATCAAACCAGGTACAATCACTGCCGAGCATCCGTAGCACTCTACACATAGATACAGTTTATAGGCCGTTTTCCAAGAGCTTCTTCGTTGTCGATACTTAAGAGAGGTAGATTATTTAACGGGGGGACTACAGACGAACCAACTTTTAACATTTATAATAATTGAACGTGGAAACTTTAACACGACGATTAAATAGTAATTGACAACATTCGTTTGGTCGTTAAGCGTCACCTTTCCTCTCTCCTCTGCGCGCCGGCTCTTACGCCTCTACATCATCTTCGTCAACGACGTACATGTATATACACGTATACATACATATATGTATACATTTATAGATTTCTCTTATACGGCGATATATCTCTCAAACTTGGAACAAACGGTAAATTTTATAATCACACTCCACACAAATTAGTATTATTATACATATATATATATATTCAGAAGAGGATTATAATATTAATAGGATCTCTTTTTTTTTATTATTGACGATGACGTTATCGCGTTAGATCAGCACAGACCAGTTTGTAATTCATCGAGCACTCTCGCGCCCGATTTTATCCACTCGATATGTCACGAGATATCGCTCATTCCACGATGCTGGGCCCCTACGTGTATCCAACTGGATTCGCGTATTCTCTTCTCCTGGTTACTCCAGTTTCGCGACACTACACGATCCTCTTTCTCTCTCTCTCTCTCTCTAGCGCTTTTTTTTCAACAACACTGGTGGAACAACACTGAGATTTCGAAGCACTCTTCAACCTGATTCTCCTCTCGTGTGTCACGATTCTCTCTCGCGCACTCTCTCGCCGGAGAAATCTCTAGATGCTTACGACGGATCGCGGTATCCACTGAAAGCACAAACACGTGTCGGTCGATGTGCCGTCGTCTCATAATTCGCCCACGCCGGAAGCGACAATTGTCCTCGTCTTTCTCCGACGGCCGGCATGTGTGCACGCATCTCACTCTCGGCTTTATCGCCGGCTTGACGCCGGCCTTAGGAAGGAAGCTCGTTGTCGCCGCGATCGCGTGCGGAACGTTTAAGCGGCAACGTGCCACGAGAAGGTAAGACGGATAGGTTCGCGGGATTCGATCTTCCCTCGTGCAATATTTTACTTCCGAGCATGGAACTTGAAGTATACGTGTACACCAGTTTGTCCCGAAGAGATGTTAATAGACAGATGGGCCTGTTAGAGCGTTTTAATATTTCAAGCTGAATGCGCCCCGCTCTGATAACCTACGGGAAATGTTTCGCGTGTAATTTCATCATCAAGAACTCGGTAACTTCCGTTACGAAGGGGGTGAGCATTGAATCTCGCGTAATCAAGAAAGTTCTGAGAATTATTTTATTACTTCGTCCATTCGATCGTGGAAGTTACGAGATTAGCACATTTGCATTTCGCTTCATTTTGAGAGACTTACGACCAAGTTCGCGTTTGTAACTTGATAGTTTACGTTATTGCAAACAGGCTTCAAGAGGGGAAGATAACAGTCCCTTGAACCGGAAAACTAACTTCCTCGAAATAAATAACTAGATTCTGGTCTCCCTCCGTTGGCTGTTTCTTCGTAATTGTTATGTTAATTCCAAAGTAATTAACTGCAGTCGCGGCGGTGGGAATAAAAATGTTGGTGGCCAAGCGATCTCTGTTTACCTAAGATTTACAGTATCGCTTCTTTTTATACTTGGCCGATAAACTGAGCATTCCATTTTATATTCCCGTCCTATCTCGCGGCTATACTGAAGTCTATGGAAAGTTCATTGACGAGCGCAGTGCCCATTATGTAGATTGCTTTTTACACTATTTTAGAAAAATACGCGACACTAAAGAATCCCTCGCGATTAAAAATAAACGCCGCCGCGTGAATTAAACAGCGCGTTATAGCGTATTGATTGGGAGAGCGTTAATCCAAGATGTATTAGTCCATTATATAACGCGGCTATACCGATACTGAATCAAGTTCCACGAAACTTTTCGCATGCTATACACACACACACGTCGGTACTTTAATTAGGAAAATTGCATGCTGACTTTATCAATTCTATACACTTCGTCGGAGTTTCGAGAATTTATTATCGTACACGGGGTATTAATTTCCGAAAGGCAAAACCGTGGAATTTTATTATGTTTGATTGGGAAAACAGCCGGAAGCTACTAGTTCGATAAGGGTGCAGGTAGTGAAGATATAGCCCCGTTACAACAAGGGATTCTCGTGGCACGCCGAAATTGCCTTGCCGGGCTTTATTTTGCGCACACTGTGCGAATCTGGGAAGCCTATCATCTGTTTGTCTAACGTATCGATCCTTGCCGGTATAATCGGCCAATATTTTTCCGATAAAATGGAACGTATATATATATATCTACCCTTATTGTTTTTCTCCGCTCAGATTGGAATTTTGAATACCGATTATGCAAAATTTCTAGTCGATACAGAGTATTAGAAATTATTTATAAACCGTAATGCATCCTGTGAATTAATAAATCTCTCATTTATGCGCGAATTAGTAGCAAACGGTTTAAAAGTTTTCGCAGGGGAAAAAAATTCAGTCGGCGAGAGTCGCTCGCGTATCGAATTTCAATCTTCCGACTTTAATTATTAATTAAACGCTGATCGATTTCGTATGTATATCACCGGGTCGTAGGCCGCGGCCAGCCGGGTATACTCTAATTTTCTTAGTTTCTTTATACATCGAGAAGGGAAGTATCCGAGAGGGAAAATGCGCGCACGTATCGTCCGCGCACTCACGAATCTCCCACGCGAAAGAGTTTTCACGCCTGTCCGCGCGAGTTCTCACGCGAGTTCCCGAGGAGACGGGAGGAACGGAGCGTTCGTTCGGCGGGCTCGATCGTACGAGGCCCTCACGCGAGAAGCACACGCACGCCGCCGCGTGGAGCACACGCCGCTGCTCACTCCCGGGGTCCCTTCGATCACCAGCGCACGCTATCCCGCAGTGCGAAAAGCCCTTTTTTCCCCCCCGCACGTTGGGACGCACGCACGCGCGCGCACGCACCGCCGACGAAGACGGCGACGCATCGCCGTCGGAGTTGACGCGCACGGTAGAGCCTCCTCTCTCGCTCTCTCTCTCTCTCCACGCCTTAAAATCCTGAGCGTCGGGGCGTGCTGCGGAGCCAAGGCGAGGAGTCGATCACTCCGCGAGGCCGTTCACTCCGCGCCTTCGCCGGACTGTCGTTGACGCTCGGGCTGCCGGCGACGGCGGGACGCCACTCGACGGCGGCGGCGACGCCGGCACTTCCTCGCTACCATTATCCACACCTCGTCGCGGGGTCCTTGTCGCGGGGGGAGAGCCGGGCGCGCGCGTCCCCGTGCCCTTATATTCGAGGGGGAAAAAACACGGCGCGCGCGGCCGATGGTCGTCGCCTGTGCGGCGTGGCGTCGCGACGCCAGGCGAAACGAGGCGAGGCGAGGCGAGGCGAGGCGAGGCGAGGCGACGCGACGTGGCGCGCCGTGCGACGCGAGTGGAAACGGATCGACGAGAGGGCGGCCGCCTCTCCTTCACGGTCTACGCGCGCAGCGGGAAGGCCGTGTAGGCCGTGTTAAGCACGGCACTCGCTACTGCCGGCTGGTACAACGTGTACCTCCGCTACTAACCTAGCGTGCCCGTCCTCCCGCGTCTCTACGCCCCGTTCCCGCCGTCGTTCCTTCCCACCACTACCGCGCAACCACCCCCGCGGACCCTCTCGCCGCGACTACCTGGCCAAACCCACCCTTTCCCTCGCGGCTCTCACCCCCTCCCCCGTACTCGCCCGTACTACAGCGCCGATCAACCCCCAGGGCGCACGGACCACCACCCCTGCCGAGACGCGAGACGTCACTGCGCATGGCGCGCAGTGCTGTGCTCTACCCGCGGTACGCCCGGGCGAAAGGGGATTTTCTCTCGCGGACATCACACGCGGACTTATATCTCTCCCCCCTTTTTGTCTTTTTAAACGTACCTCCGCGCTATCCTTGAACTGATAAATTTATGTACGCGCAACGGAATGTGTCGTGTGATTTATGCCGGAGGAAGGTATTTTGTGAGGGAGGGATCGACGAGCCCCGGATCGTGCGATCTATAATCTCCCCCTCGCGCGATTATCCCGCTCCGACCTCCTGCGCATCTCTCGCGTTCATTTCTATTATGTTTACGTCTATTTTTTCCTTTAAACACAATGCTAGAGGCGCCTCCGCGTCCGTGGGAAATATACCGTCTCTCAGAAATTCACGGCGCTACATGAAGAATGTTAAAGCAGAGAGCTATGCATTCGAGCTCGTGGAATTTTCATGACTCCGCCGTGTATCGCGCGTGATGAATAAGTATTGCGCGCGCTGGCTGAAAGGAAACTTCTTTCTTATAGCTGGAAAACGAAAAAGACCGGCGCGCGCGCGCCGGACGAATAGCGTTATCAAAACCAGATCACGATGCATTGCGTCGTTGGCGTGCCGCGACGGCGATATATCGATCGAGACGCCGCGCGAAATTGCGTACGCCGGCATTCGCGCGCCGGCGATTTGCGAGAGATAAAGGTTCGCGCCGAGTACGAGGCGAGGGTGCGAGAGCCCACCCCCTTTTCGGCGGTCGACTTATCTCTCTCGTTCCCGCTCGTTCGCGCGTATCTCTCCGGGTCACTCCGGATCACTCCGGAAGATCGCTCGGCGCGATCTCGGGGAGGAATCACGCCTCTCGCGTGCGGGGGGGGGGGGCGAGTAAACGGAATGGCGACGGCACGTTCGCCGAAAGGAAGCGCAAGGTACGATGACACGCACGGCGCCGCCACGCGGCGATATTCAACCAGTGGCGGAATGGTGGATGTTGACCTACGAGCCAGCCAGCCAGCCAGTCAAGCCAGCCAGACAATCCGAATGAATCCTGGTGACTCGGTGACCGATCTGCCGCAATCCGCCGGCAAGGCCGGAGGCTGCCGTCTGAGCTCTGGCGCCCCTGGGGAGACCTAGGTGGATTTGATGGTGAAGATACAAGGTGCGTCGGGCGGAAGAGCCAAGCGGCGGAGAGTGCCGGACGGTGCACAAGGGGGACGGCCGTGTTTGCACGGCGCCGAGAGGAAAAGGAAGAAGAGAACGGGAAACGTGAAGAGGAATGAGGGAGAGATGTAGAGAAAGAGGGGATGGAAAGGCAGAAAGAAAAGGTCGCGATGGTCGGAGAGAGATGGCACACACGGTAGCAGCCACCACGTCGTATACCAACGCCACTTCATATTGATTTTCCCGGAGGGGGGTGGGTGGAGGGAAGGGTTTGGAATGGTGGAGGAGAGAAAGAGAGAGAGAGAGCGCGCACGCGAGAGAAGGTGGAGGAGCGTCCAAGGTGGAGAGACGGAGAGAGGAGCCGAGAGGTAGGAAGGGACGGAGCGAACGGTTCTTCGTCGTTAACCACCGTGGCTAACCCCTAAGGTTGAGTCCGGGGAAAATGGCGGGCCGGGCCGGGCCGGGCCGGGCCAGGCCGAGCGTCGGTACGGCATAAAATACGTATGCGCTTTACCGAGGCGGCACTGCACGCGCGCACAGCGCAGGATAAAAGCCAGAAGCGGGCCTGAATCTGTCGCGGCAAAAATGTGTACAGGAATAGAAGGGTTTGCTTTCACGCGAATGATTTCGACCGCGGTAACGGTACGGTAGATATCTAGTGTGTTTACATCGAGATCTCGCATGGTTTGTTTTTTGTAAAAAAATAATTTTACGCTATCGAGCAACAATACGCACGAAAATAAATACAGAAGCGTCGACGTATCGTGATATTTTGCACGATTGCTCTCTCCTTTGAATTTAAAAAATTTAATTTAATTTAATCATCACAAGTTACGAATTTCCTTTATTCTAAACTCGCGCAAATCTAATTTGTAAGATTTAATTCATTTTTTATTGAAGCAAAGGTTTACGCCATTCCTTAAATCAACAAGATAATGCGTTCTGTGTTAATCGAAATCGAAATCGGAAAAAGGAAAAGTATGGCACTACTTTATCGTTTCTGTCTATCCCTGTTTGCCAATTCGTGTGTGTACGTCAATTACGCGAGTCTAATAATAAAAGCCAATGAGCGAGCAAGCAAGAAACATTTACTTTTTCTGGTGTAATATATGTATATTATTTCTAGATCAAAATATACGAAATGGTCATGCGATGTAAATAATGCAGCTTCTTATTGGCGCGTCTAGAAGCCTAGTTTCTTGAAGCGTATTAAAAATAAGAGCTAAACGACACCGCACATCGAAAAGGGGTGCAAAATTTTCCTAAACACTCTCGCTTTATCGTCACATGCTTTCATTAATTCGCACGCGACCAAAAGCGACACGGTATAACGAATATCCAGCAACAGAAACGTCAATTGCTTTGGTATGTCGCTACGTTTGCACGTAGCTCTAATGCGAAGACACGTATTAATTCGGTCGTTCATAATAGTTAGGAGCTACTTTGTCCTGACATAATGGTGAAGCTTGTTACCAATCCAGTGGTCGCACATGCATGCCATTATGGATCGTTATCAAAATTAAATGATTGTGCCCATGTCCGAACCGCAGTCATCTTTCGTCGAATGAATCGGCTCTCGCCTCTCTAGAATGATTAAAATTGCGCGATAACATTTCGTCCCTGCGCGAGAAAAGTGACACAGATCAGAAATAACAAATTTGCAGGAGGACGGTTTGAAGCTTCTCGCAGATCGTATACAGCAACAACCACACGGTCTGTTAAATTGTTCGTATCCTTCTCCCTTTCTTGCCTTGATTGATCTTTCTCCATAATGTAAGGATCGTATTTTTCTTTTAAACGTTTTTCCCTCTTCACTATTTTTCTCACTACTTTTAAACGAAATACTTTTTGAACGAATCTCCACTTCAATCCTTTTTCGGACGGAGTTTTTTTTTATTACTCTTCTGGATATAAGTACGTACACGTTTTTGTGTTGATAAATTATAAGGGCGCAGCAATTTATAATTTTGAATCAAACAGGATGCTGGTAGCCCAATAATTGTAATCTAATGTGAATTCATATACAGTTTTCCACCTTGTCCTGCCCGCCGGTTTCTTCTCGGACATAACGCAGTTTCATTAGATGGAATCATTGCCGTCAGTGAATTCACGTATTAAAATCGATAAACGATTTCTAATTATTTAAAAATGCTATTTAGCATTCAATACCCCCCTCCCCGTACCGTAAAGAATTCTTATTGCGAAAAATATTACCTCAGCCGGGATTCGAACCTGGGACCTCCCTGAAACTGTGATGGGTGTCTTAACCTTAGATTACAATTATTGGGCTACCAACATCTTGCTCGGGCTTAAAGGCGCTCTCGCTTGTTTGATTTATATCGTAATGGTCCTATTTAATTTAATTTATATATACCTCGGTGGTCGAATTGGTGAGACGCCCGCCTAGAGTGTAGGGAGGTCCAGGTTCAAACCCTGGCTGAGGTAATATTTTTTGCAAGAAATTTTCTGTATTATTAAAGATGCCAGATGTGGTCAAGAAAACGCTGTTAGCTTTCTTTGTTTGTTTTTGACTTGTGTCACTTTTCTTGTGCAAAGGCGATTCGTCATACTTACAAATATTCAGATAGTATTAGGTAATGTACCAGCTAAATCACTCGTCGTTTCATTACACTGATTATTATTATAATCAGTTGTTTGTGTGCGATGAGCGAAGGAAAATATGTATACACTTAAAAGTTTGAAATGAGTGGTTGGATGCGAAATGGAAACGCAGCAAAATAAGAACGTTTTAATCCTATCAGAATTAGGAGAAGGTCATGTACCGTGACGTGAAAAGAATAAGGGATCCGTTCTGCCAGAGGAAAGTTAAAATGGCCCGAGCATGGACACAGATCTCCGTGTCTAAACTTCCAAACTTTCTGTAATTAAAGGACTGTACAGCTGGAACGAGGCAGACTGGATAAAGCATCCAGTAGTAAAAATCGACGCTTAGCACGTCGCGCCGTCTCATTACAGTACTCCGTGTTACGCGTTAAAAGTACGAAGAAGACACCTACGACACTTTGCGACAACATGTAATTGATGTCACAAGTAAACTGACAATTGCGCAGCGTATCACCGATCACACGTGACATTAAATATTTAAATTTGTCCAAGTTTAAACCACCCCTTCGTAAGTATCGATCGACCGAGAAAACCAGATTGAAGCTTGCGCGCACGTGTAAAGAACATTTTTACACGTAGGGACGAAATAATTTAACGTAACCGTACGCTGTTCAAAAATAATCTCTCGAATATTTACAACAAAGTCACGATTAATTTTCCAGCGCGCGTTACAAGTAGAGACAACGCATTATACTTATAGACCGGTGCTGTGCGATTGCAATATTTCTGCGGGACGCACTTTGCACGCAGCCTGGGGAGCATAGAACTCAAGATGGAAATGTGTTTATCCA